AAGTTTAAAAAATGTCTGAAGGCTTTTGAGTCATTTATGAATTGGTTTAATTTGTTTTAAATCATCTTTTACTGTAAGCTGAAGATTATGCGCAATACATGATTGCCAATTAATATTAGGCAAGTAATTTTCTTTTAATAACTCAACACCTTTTACTATGTTTGAACTATTATCTGTTACAACATTATGTATTTTATTTACTAACTCCCAATTATTTATTATGAAAACAACTCCTCACAAATATCTTGACCTGTATAAGGATGTGGCATATGATGGTTTGAAAGTAGCGCCTCCTGAAGCTTAAAGTCAGATGTTAACCATGTTACTGTAATACCAAGATAACCATGGTTACTCTTTGCAGTCCATATATCAGTTGTTAAATTAACAGTATTGACACCTAATAATGATTTCTTAAGCTGGTCAGTACCTCACAAATAGGCTTCAGAAATATATTTTTTTATGGTATTCACGCATAGTATTTGATATTGTGATCTAAAACCATTTAGAAGTTTTCGAAAAGATATGCATTTTAATATATATAATGGTTGAACATCATATACGATGAACTCTACTACAAGCTTTGTTAATTTTTGTTGCTATTTAGATGAAAGGGAAGGTAAGTCTATGTCCATCGATTCTAGATCCTGGTTGATTACTGCTACTGCCATGGGCTATTAAAAAAATAAAAATAAAAAAGTTAAAGACCTTGTTTGAAATTTAATTATTTTTATAATGATTAACAATTTTTTACTTGTTTATCATCATCGAGGTATTGTCTATAATTCTTTGAAGTTATATGATGCTTATCACGTAAATGCTGTATTAAATATCCTGTACTTTTTTCTGATTAACTATATGGATATGGAGAAGCGTCCAAGTCTTCTAACTCTTGAGTACAAAGCTTACAATATATAATTGTGTTGTCAGTTTCATCATCCTGATAAAAGTGTCACGTAAAAGTAGCATTTGCTCTTGAAGTTGATAAGTTACTAGAATCAATAGATGAGGTCGATTGAGCCTTTTTTTTTATTAGGTTTTCTTTTTTTTCTTTTAGGATGAAGCATTATTAAACAAATTTTTTTTTTTTGATAAAACTTGAAGTGGAAAACAATCATTTTTATAATGATTATTTTTTATTGATTAAATAAAAAAAAATACAACTTTGAAAAATTATTTATTAAATATACATTTAATGAAAAACTAATCTATTATTATACTTCTAAACTTCTAAATATGCAATTCCTAGCAAATTGAGAATATACATATGATTATACTCCTAAATACATATTCTAGATCGAAAATGAAAATTTGATATAATCGTACTTCTAAATGCATAATCTTTAGCGCGATTGAAAAAGTTAATATATAATATATATTCATACTCCTAATGAAGTTCAATTATAAATAATTACTTAGCTCAAACTAATAAAACCACTTATTGGTTTAATCTTCTTGAGTGCAACGATTTTTTTATTATAGACCATTTAATGAAGAATTAATATATAATCATACTTCCAGACTGAAAGAAAAAATTCATACTCCTAAATACATAAACCTAGCGCAAGTAAAAAAGTTAATATATGATATAAGATCATACTCCTAACGAAGTTCAATTATAAATAAATAATTAACTGAGTGCATCGATTTTTTTTTATTATAGACCATTTAATAAGAGAATTAATACATAATTATACTCCTAAATCGAAAGAAAAAAATTGATATATAATTATACTCCTAAATGTATAACCCTTAGCGTGAGTAAAAAGGTTGATATATAATATATGGTCATACTCCTAACGAAGTTCAATTATAAATAATTACTTAGCTCAAATTAATAAAACCACTTATTGGTTTAATCTTCTTGAGTGCAACAATTTTTTATTATGGCCATTTAATAAGAGAATTAATATATAATCATACTTCCAGACTGTAAGAGACAAATTCATACTCCTAAATGCATAATCCCTAGTGCGAGTGAAAAAGTTAATATATGATATAAGGTCATACTCCTAACGAATTTCAATTATAAATAAATAATTACCTGAGTACACCGATTTTTTTTTATTATAGACCATTTAATAAGAGAATTAATATATAATTATACTTCTAAATCGAAGGAGAAAAATCGATATATAATCATACTCCTAAATGTATAACCCTTAGCATAAGTGAAAAGGTTAATATATGGTATATGGTCATACTCCTAACGAAGTTTAATTATAAAACTATTTATTGGTTTAACCTTCCTGAGTGCAACAATTTTTTTATTATAGACCATACTCCTCTAAGCACATATTCCTTAAGCACAAGCCCTATTTGCCCAAGGCCCAAGTTGTTAAAGTCTTTATAAACCCTTACCTTAAAGTAAAAAAAGTATATTTTTTTTTTAATCGTCCCTTAGATTGCACTGCACTTATCAAGGTCCGACCTTACAGTAAACCGATATATTACTAAGGAAAAAATAGCACATTAGCATGAATCTGTGTGTAATTTCATTCACCCTCTAATAAAGGAAATCCCATTGAATGTAAAATGAAAGAATTACACTTACTTCAATAGTCATTGCATTTAAGCAAATATCATTAGAAAGGACAATTTACGGAAATCTAATTAAAACAATTTGAAACGTGTTAGTTACGATGAAAATTACTAAAAAAAATCAAAAAAAAATCATGAAACACATTTTAGAGCATGTGCTGTAACAACAAATCATGCTTCGCAAGAACTTTATTAATTATAAAATGCGTAAGTAAAAATAAATACCCCAAAGCCGATCGTTTGACAGACTATAACTTTTGAACAGAAAGTTCAATTCGACACTGGACAAATACTATCGTGTTACTTGAGAAATCATGTAGAAGTAAAAAGAAGTTAGATTGGTAATTTCGCATTACTTCTTGTAAAGGTTAAAAAGACGAAATTATTTATTATAATATAAATCCGGATTTGATGATTAAATCCGGATTTAATCATTAATCCGGATTTAGCCATCAAATCCGGATTTAATCATTAAATCCGGATGCAGGTATTAACTCTACTCTGGGGCTCACACTACTAGGTTGTGCATACGCACGTACGTACACGTATATACATGTTGGCAAAACTATAAATTCTTGAAATCCCAAATATAATAAAATTGTCCCAAATCCCAATAGTATTACCAGCAAGTATACGTACGTACATATGCCATAATCATAATTTCGATTTCGGAATTTTTTATTTAAAAAATTTTTATTAGAATTATTACATTCACATTATTCACACTTATTGTTTTATACAAAAATGTTGGATAATAAAATAGATTCAAAATTTTAATTAAACTACAATGTTCCTATTTAAATTTTTAAAATTTGAAAAATTATAAACTATTTTGAAAAAAAATAACACACTACTATAACCACTTTTTTGACTAAATCAATAAAAAATAGCCACGTGGTTCATTACCGCAAATGCGTTATCAGGTTCTAGCTTTAAAGATTTATCCAGATCTTTAAGAGCTTCTTCGTATCTGCTTAACATACGATAAGTTGCACCACGATTTCTTAATGCAAATGGATCATTTGGTTCGAGCTCTAATGATCTACTTAAATCAGCAAGTGATTCTTCATACCTATCCATCATGTGATAAACAGCACCACGAACTTTTAATGCAAAGGCATCATCCGGTTCAATTTCCAAAGATTTATTTGAATCAATAAGTGCTTCATTATATTTTCCTAATTTGCAATAAATTTCACCGCGAAATTTTAATGTATCAGCGTTATTTGGTTCAATTTCTAATGCTTTATTTAAATCTGCAAGTGCTTCATCAAGTTTATTAATTGATTTATAAGCTAATCCACGATTATTTAACGCGAATACATTATTCGGTTCAAGTTCTAATGATTTATTTAAATCATTAAGAGATTCATCGTATCTTCCTAATTTGCAATAAACTTCTCCACGAAATTTTAATGCATCTGAATTATTCGGTTCAATTTTTAATGATTTATTTAAATCTGTAAGAGCGCTCCTATATCTATTCATAAGTCGAAAAGTTGCACCACGAACTTTTAAAGCAAATGCGTTATTTGGATCAATTTCCAATGATATATTTAAATCTTCAAGTGCTTCTTTATATTTTCCTAATTTACAATAAGTTTCCCCACGAAATCTTAATGTATCCGCATTGTTTGGTTCGATTTCTAAAGATTTATTTAAATCCGCAAGTGATTCTTCATATCTTTCTAACATACGATACGTATCTCCACGAACGCTTAATGTCCATGCGTTATTTGGATTAATTTTTAAAGATTTATTTAAATCTGCAAGTGCTTCATAAAATCTATTCATCAAACGATAAGTTGCACCACGATCACTTAATGTCCACGTGTCATTTAAATCCAAATTTAAAGATTTATTTAAATCTGTAAGCGATTCTTCATATCTATTCAAAAGTCGATAAGTCGCACCACGAGTATTTAAAGCAAAAATATTATTCGGTTCTATATTTAATGATTCATTTAAATCAGCAAGTGATTCTTCGTATCTATCCAACATACAATAAACTGCACCACGATTTCTTAAAGCAAACGCATCATTTGGTTCTAATCTTAATGATTTATTTAAATCCAAAAGAGCTTCATCATATCTACTCATTAATCGATAAGTTGCCCCACGATTCATTAATGCAAATGCATTATTTGGTTCTATTGCTAATGATTTATTTAAATCTTTAAGAGCTCTTGAATGTCTATTTAGCGTACGAAAAGTAGCACCACGATTTCTTAATGCAAAAGCATTATCCGAATCAAGATCCAATGATCTGTTTAAATTCGAAAGTGATTCTTTAAATTTATTCATCATATAATAAATTGCACCTCGATATCTTAAAGTAGATGCGTTATTTGATTTAACATCCATCAACTTAGTTAAATCCGAAAGAGCATTCTCTAATTTACCTAATCCAAAATAAATCAATCCTCGAGTTTCTAATGCGAGTGCATTATTATGGTTGGTATCTAACATAACATTAAGTCGTACGAAATGTTCATCTTGATCTTTGAATAAATTAAATTCACTTTGACGTGAATTAAAAGTATTTGTTTGATTTAAACTTTTTTTAACTATTTTATTTACACGTTTAAGCCATCTCTTATTATGTTTTTCAATCGTCTGATATGTTTTTTCGTAACAATCCAAAGCGATCGCGCTTGGAAATATATTCAAAATTTCCTGAAAACAAATTAAAGCTTTGCCGAAAGAACCCATTGTATAATATAATATTCCTTTGATTCCAATGGCTATTATATTTTTATCATCGTTATTAATAGCTTGAACACAACACGACATTACTATTTCTTTATTATTACATGATTGTAATAAAATATATCCAGATATCGTAGCATGATCCGTATTATAAAGTCGAATAGGTAAAGAATTTCCAAATCCAAAAATCATTTTATGAGGTTTATCAAATTTTTCGAATAAAATTGATAAGATTGGATGAACGAAATTAATTTTATTCAATACTTTACTAATTTCAAATTGTGCCTCATGAAATTTCTTTTTATCGGAATATATTTTTGCTTTATATAAATGTGCCGTTATATTATCAGGATCTATTCTTAGAGCAGCTTCTAAATCATTTAGTGCATCAACGTTCTTTTTAAAAAAGAAATACATATGACACCTATAAATATAGGCAAGAGATTTTGTTGGTCTTAATTGAATCGCTATCGTAAGATCATCCAAAGCTTGAGAATACATTTCGATTTTCCAAGATGCGAATGCTCTCTTACATCGAATAGAATAGCTTTTGGGATAAAAATGTAAAATTCGAGTTAACCAAATTACTGCTGTTGAATATTCATGTTGTTGTAATGCTTTAATTGCTCTATTGAAAGTAGGCAACGTAACCTTTGATGGTGATATTTTTAATTCGACATCCATTTTGATGTTCATTTGCTGTTTTTCCATTGAATAATCAACTTGATCCAACGTTTTACAAAGGCCTTTAAGTGTTGCATTCCTTGAAAGTTTATATATCGATTCTAGTTTGATCACGGTTTTACAAAAAGGGCATTTAAAACTTCTACTTTTCATAGAAAATAGAATTTTTCGCGTCCTTATAGCATTATAACTAATCAAATGATTACATCCCAAAATAAGAAAATCACTAGTTACTTCACCAGTAATCGGACATGTTAATTGTTCTATAATAATTTCTTTAGATAGAGTATCACT